TGTATATGAAATGGAAACAATAGGTCGTTGGTATGTTGCAGCAGTAGCTCCCGTTTAGTTGGGTCTATCAAGTCGACATATTCAACAATAGCGCGACTCACGATCACTGGGCTAGACGAGGCACATCATGAAAGAGTCTGTCTACATTATCGTTTACTGTCTAGCCACTTCGAAATGCTCACCCAGTACGATATCAACAGCCTGTTCGGCAATTGCGTAGACTGGTACCTGGTAATGAGCCGCAAGAGGCTTTGGAATGACACTCGCATCAGCGACACGCAAGTTCCTAACTCCAAACACCCTCAGCGATCCATCAACAACGGTCCCCATCGCTGCTGTCCCTGCAGGATGATATGTGGTACTCGCGCCCATCTTGAGTCTCGCGTCGATATCTTCGTCAGACTTCCCTGGATAGCCTGGCGGAATGTGTTCATATTCGACAAGCATCTTACCCTCGGCTGTATTCAACATCAGCTCGGATTGCATACGGAAACCCTCGCGCAAGACGTAGCGATCTGCTTCCGTGGCGCAGTAGTTTGGGTCGATGATAGGATTCGCGGACGGATCAGACAATGCAAGCGTCACCGAGCCTCGCGACGTCGGAAGACAGCCCATGAAAAAGGTCATGATGGATGATCCGTCAATCGGAATACTAAGACCCTGCGCTTCTGCTCCGACGGCAATGTACATGAGCAGCATCTCGAGGTGAGTGCGTGGGCCCTTGAGCAGTGCGTGGTCATCAGATACCGGGCCCTCATCGCGCTCGATGGCTGCCTTCAGTGTCCCGACTTGGTGTATAGGCGCGCGAACCAAGAAGTCTACCGGCCCCCCTCTGTCGTAATTTAGACCACCGAAGAGCGGCGAGCCGATCGCTAGACCCTTCTCTGGGTTTCGCAGCTTCCAATAACGGTACATCATCAGATGATCATGCAGATTCTGGCCGACGGCTGGTAGATTGGATACAACTGGAATGTTGTGCTGCGATAGCTGGGAAGGCTCTCCAATGCCAGAGAGCATCAAGACTTGGGGCGTTCGGTAGGCGCCCGCGGTTATGACGACTTGGCCGCCTTCGTTGAGATCAATGCGTTCGCCATCTGTGAGCTCGACGCCGACTGCCGTATTCGTATCGTCGAATAGCACACGCCGGACGATGGTTGATGTGCGCACTTGGACACCGTGAAGCGGGTATACGGAGTGCGCCATCTGCCGTTTGCCATCCTGGAAGTTCTCAACCAGATCGCTGATGCCTTGAGGTCGGCCGTCGTTTAGGTCATAGATATGTGGTATGTCGAGGTTCGACCAAAGCTTATGGACGGGTTCGCGCAATGGGTATATACGGCCGGTAGAGGTGACAGATGCCGTGTGCATCGGACCGTCGTGCCCATGCTGCGAGGGATCCGCATCGGGGTCGAAGTGCCTTTCCGTGCGCTTGAAGTATGGCAATAGGCCGTCGTAGCTCCATCGCGGATCGTCAACATCGCGTGCCCACTCGTCATAGTCCTGCGCATCGCCTCGAATCCATCCACCTAACACAGTCAGCTGGTCGCGCGCACCTGCAGTCACCATGTGTACCGTTGTTGATAACGCTGCCGCCGCCAAGGCCTCTAAAGCCTACATTTCGCTTGGGCTTCCCATCGAGATGCTCTTGAGGTGTTGTAGAGTAGTTGTAGTCGTACTGGGAGAAGTGGAGGTTCGCGGCCGCGGCTGGTATGGCAACATGTGGATTCCCAGTAGGATCGGGACCGGCTTCAATGAGTACAACGGATAGCGATGGCTTCCTCTCGTGCAGACGCGAAGCGACCACGGTGCCAGCAATCCCGCCGCCTACGATGATAACGTCGGCCATTGCAGACTCAGCTTGTCCACAGTGCGAGGAAGCGGGTCGAGAATGCCACTGGATCAGCTATATGTGCGGTGCAGCTCGCATCATAGCAATTGAAGTAGGCGGGGCGTATGGGCGTATGCAGTCAGCCGCTGCGATCCAATCATACATTCCGCCGTCACGGCGTAGTCCATCGATGCGCAAGACCACGGTGGGCAACGACCAGTCAGCCCATCGTCATCCACCAACACTCCGCTATCATATTCACCGCCTTGATCTGTCCGCGGCTTCGAGTGGAACGGTGATGTTGCGCATGAGGGTAGGTCGGTTAGGCATGCTCAGCGCAAAGGCGGGATGTGTGGGTCCCGGATGGCGGCAGGGGGTTGAGATCGACATCGTGAGCGGTAACGATAGGGTTCTGTTTGCATATTGCGCATCGAGGTTGACCGACCCTTGGACGTAGTTGCGAAGTCAGCGAAGGTCAAGACGTAAAAGTGACTGCTTAGGATTGGTACGTCATCAAACTGACGCTCGCGGGGTAGCCGGTGCCATCTAATAGACATCGCGCTGGAAGTTTCGTATAGCCTTTTCGCGGCCTGGTCCAATAGCCAATGATCATATGAAAGCCAGGAAGATTCGATATGCTGTGCGGTGAGGAGACTGGCTGTCGTGTCGGGATTACGCGTGAGACAACCGCAAGATTCCTATCGCCTTCGCACAAGCTATTGAACCGGACTAGATTGCCATTGTGGGAGCCGTGTAGCGCCTTGGGTGTGGGTGTGGGTGACAGTTCGGCAAGCGTGGTGACTGTTTACGTGTTGGGGGCGACGCGTTAGCTAGCCAGCCGGATGACGCATCGGAGCTACATAACGCCGCGCCGCGCCTCCTGCACCGAGGTACACGCACCCTTGCTCTCAACACCTCATCGCCGGCATCCCATCCTGCCATCCTTCAAAGAGAACGACGCTCGAACATCTATAACAGCTGCTGGTACCTTCGCGAATTAATGATGTGATCGAGTGAACAGGCGCGCGAAGTCTGCGTCCTTCACTTGCGCAGTCGGGAACGCGACCCAGGCTTGGGCTCCTACAGAACCGCGTGACGGATGCTTCGCTTAGTACACTCTCGACATCGGATACAAAGCCCGCTGCGTACTTCGCTATCTCGAGAAGCCAGCTTGTCCGCAAGAATGTCTCGATACAAAGTTCGGCTCGGAACGACGTCCATTCTCTTCTAGGTTTCACCCGGTTTGAAGTTATTAAAGGGCATCGCGCACGTTGCAGCCAACGCCAATCCCCCTCCCAAGCTTTCTGAGAGCTATGGGCTTAGACAACGTCGCATGCGTCTCGTAGATTGCAGCCGCGTCATTGCGCTTATGTTCAGGCTCGACCGTGAGTAGCGATATACGCCGTACACTCGATACGGACCACCGACCATGATCCATGACAGACCCACATGTTGCGGCAGTGCTGGTGCTGGGTCGGTGAAAAGTGAACGGATCTTCCCGAGCCCATGTTCGGATTTCGATGGCGCTAAACTAAAACGCCGGTTAGTCAGCGTATCCGTATTCAACGCTTCAAGACCCTCTCGCCGCTATCCGTATTTCCGCCTCCACGTATTTCTTTTCATCGTCCTTTCGCCAATTACGTCGCATTCGCCAAAGTCCGCCATGGCTCCGCGTAAGGTTCTGAGAAGATCGCATCGCAAATCTAGGAACGGTTGTCAAGAGTGCAAGAGACGCCACATCAAGGTACGCGACGGCATCATGAGCGCGGGTACCTGCATCTGCTCGCGTAGCATTAGGGAATAAACCATACTGATCGTTCTAGTGCGATGAGGCGCAGCCCACGTGCGAGAATTGCGCGCGCGATGATCGTACATGCACGTACTCAAGGCCACCAGACCCATCTCAACGCGCGGTATCCAGCCAATCGCCATATGCGGTGCCCGAGACCACATCAGGATCTTACTTCGGAACTCCAACGTCGCATGGCGTGCCGAGTACGGTGGAACACAGCAGTACGGTGTCACCAGCCGTGACGTCTTCCGTGGACCTGTCTTTCCTCTCTCCGGCGGCGTCGTCACCGCATGGCTCGGACCTCTGTTTTAGCTTGCGACATATGCAGTTGCTCAGCCACTTCATCTACGAGACGTTGCCAAGCCTCGCAGAAACAGGGTCGATAGACGACACGCAAGCACGTGCTCTTATGCCAGCGATTCTGTCAGAGCCATATGCCATGTACCAAGTTCTGGCCCTCTCCGCCATACATATGAGCTACCAACACCCTGAAGAAGCAGACCGACATCGCGAGGAGGCTAGAGCTCTCCAAACCCAGGCGTTGTGCGCCTTCAATAGTGCACATATCGAAGTTACGCCAGATAACCTTTTGTCTATCATGTCATTCTCTACCATGACTGGCTTGCACGCCCTCTCAGAAGTCGCTGGGAATGCCAATGTGGGACCGGGTGGAGTCTTGGATGGATTCGTCACGTACATGAACTTGCATCGAGGAGTTCGAGCCATTATATCGCAATCCTGGGGATTCTTGAACCAGACCAGCGTTGCTCCACTTTTCGAGCGAAGCACGAGTGCCATTCATCATGCCATATGTTCGAACGGGCAAACAGCAGTAGCAGTGGCGGAGCGCCTGTCAAACTTACTGGACCACGCGGACATGAGCGAGGAATCTCGACAGACTTGCAGTGTGGCTGCATCTGAGCTGACAGTCGTATACCAGACAGAGCCTGACGTGGAAAAGCCGTCAAATCAGCCGCCTGGAACTGGTTTAATCTGGGTGTTTCCAATTAATCTCTCGAGCGAGTTTACGGCACTTTTGTCTATGCGCAAACCGGAAGCGCTCATTATCCTGGCCCACTACGCGGTTCTTTTGCATCGTAGACGCCGGGTGTGGCTGGTCGGCAACGTCGGCAGGGTACTAATCGAGGAGATTTCGAGATTCTTGGGCAGCTTCTGGAAAACTTGGCTCGACTGGCCGAACGAGGTACTTTTGCAACCCTAGCGCGATACGTAGCCAACCAGCGAATACGTCGTATACCATGACTCGTATTCGTCCCTATCGACGCATCAACCACCGAGCGGACTCGCCTGTCGTACCAGAGTACCTACAGTAGGCATCTCGGCGAGAGCTGTTGTATCATGTCGCTACTTATATGATCAATGTCGCGATCGTTCCAACTCATCATCCGACCACAGTCTCTCGTTCCACAATACAACACGATGCAGAACCTCACCGTCCCATTCTCTGCCTGCAATGCCAGCTCTATCCCGCACCCCGTCGTCTTTGGCGCCAATGTCACGGGTCTCACCGCTGCGCTCGTCCAAAACTACACGGGAGCTTTCGACACGTCCACCAACAAGCCTTCTCCCGCCGCGCTCGGCCTCGACTTCTGCAACGTGACCGTAACATACACCCACGAAGGCCAGAACGACAACATCAATGTAGAGACATGGCTCCCAATCGATAACTGGAACGAACGACTGCAGGCCGTCGGAGGCGGAGGCTGGGTTGCTGGCCGGTTTACTATATCCTACGTTTTCATGGACGAAGCGATAGGCGAGGGCTATGTGGCTTCAACAACAGACGCCGGCCTAGGCTCGTCACCTATTCCTGATCCGTGGGCGCTGAACAGCCCTGGCAATGTCAATTTGTATGCGATACAGAACCTCGCCTCCAAGTCTCTCCACGACCAGTCTTTCATCGCCAAAGACGTCGCCAAGTCCTTCTACGGACAATCCCCGAAGTATTCCTACTGGAACGGATGCTCCCAAGGTGGTCGCCAGGGGTTCATGCTCGCTCAGCGCTACCCTGAGGCGTACGACGGCATCAATGCAGGAGCGGCTGCGATCAACTGGAATGAGTTGTTCTTCAACGCTGCATGGGCGCAGGTCATGATGTCAATGACAAACCAATTCCCGACAAAGTGTGAGCTTGACGCCATCACCTCGGCTGCTGTCGCCGCTTGCGACCCTCTCGACGGCGTTGTTGACGGTCTCGTTTCCGACCCGGAGAAGTGCTTCTTCGACCCATTCACGATGGTTGGCAGCGTTCAAAACTGCACATCGACCGGAAAGGCTGTCACGATCAGCGAAGGAGCCGCAGTCATTGCGAACGCTACATGGGAAGGCCCACGGGGACCTGACGGCGAGTTCATCTGGTACGGCGTTGACTACGCAAGCGATCTCACCGGCAGCGATGGCATGGACGGTACCCCTTTCCGGGTCGCTCTTGCGACAACAACCTGCAATGCCAATGGTACATGCACCGGGTCTCCGTCGGGCCTTGGTGAGAATTGGTTGAAGTTCTTCGTCAAGAAAGACCCCGAGTGGAACTACACGCAGATCAGCTCAGTGGAGGAGTACACGCGTATGTTCAAGTCATCAGTCCAGGAGTGGTCTTCCATCATCGAGACGGCGGACGCAGACCTTTCGGAGTACCGCAAGGCTGGTGGCAAGCTCATGACATTCCACGGCTTGGTAAGTTCTCCATCCGCTACGCCTTTACTCTTGACACCCGACTAACTTCTTCTCCAGGCCGACAATATCATCCCGCACAAGGCGACCGACAACTACTACAACCGCGTGAAGGACCTTGACGCCAACGTCGACGACTTCTTCCGCTACTACCAAGTCCCTGGCCTCGGACATTGCAATGGTGGCGCTGCCGGCGGCAAGCCTCCCGCCACGTTCCATGCGCTCGTCGACTGGGTCGAGAAGGACGTCGTGCCGCAGACCTTGCCCGTGAGTTTCAACGATACGAAGGGAACCCAATTCGACAGGTTCCTGTGCCCGTACCCGCAGAAGACACGACTCATCTCGAAGGACAGCGATGCGACAAAGCCGGAGTCGTACAAGTGTGCTGTTTGAGCTTGCGACGGTGCGACAGTAGTGACAGCGCGAGGGCTGCGACGATTTGTATATAGAAGCAGTTTTGTTGTTTGTTTTAGCGATTCGCTCGCGAGATGGATAGAGGTGGTGTTCGCGTTCGATGTTGTAATAATTCAAAACCTTTGCCTTTCTGCACGATGTGTTTGCGCAAGCTCTTCGCACACGTTTGCTGCGCGAGTTCTTTAAATAAGCTCTTTGCAGAAGTTTTAACGTAATTAAGTAGTAAGTTATAGTAGCTCTTTTCTATTTTGTATCTAGATGCGCATAAAACGTACTCTAGTACACTAATCTAATTATTTATTAGTACTATTAGTACACGTAGCCTAAGAGGTAGATATTCTTAGTATTCTTAGAATCTTTATTATTAAGTGTCTAGTAGACACCTATATATAGAATATAGATTAAGACATAACTAATACTTATATTAATATCTATAATATAAATCTTATTTATCTAGTAATTATAATCTAGAATATTCTCTAATATTTATAGTAGAACCTCTAGAAGATAGTATATCTAATAAGTAGAACTAAAGTATAAGGTAATAGATAAACTTATATATAGATAGAGATAGTTAGCTTTAGAAAGATATACTTATAGAAATAGAAAAACTCTATCTTACTTTATTTTTAGTTAAGAAACTATATCTTTAGCTACTTTTATACTTTTAATCTTTTTAGCTATTATAATTAAAATAGTTTAGAAAGTACTATTTATAGAATCTTAGAAAAATAAAAAAGTAATTATTAGACTAGTGCTAGAGTTAAAGATAAAGAGCTTTTATTCTAAATATAGAATTATTCTAAAGATATCTTATATTAGATATATATATAAGTATTTATAAATAGTATTCTATTTAACTATTAAGATATTATTTATAGAAAATCTTTATATATATATAAATATAATACTTTATATACTAAGCTACTTAGCTACTTAACTTTATATATAAATTCTTAGTCTAATTAGAAATTCTATTTCTAAACTATAATTATTCTAATAACTACTTATAAATAGTAAGTCTTAGTATATATAGAGTATAGTTTAAACTTATTATACTTTATATTAGTTTCTATATATACTTCTAAAAAATTAACTTATAGATATAGCTATAGTATATAATATATTACTTTATTATTAGCTCTAAAATAGTATAAAGCCTTTATAAAATACTAACTTTATTTTAATATATTTTTTATAAGTTAAACTTAGTAATTATTAGTACTTTTTATATAGCTATAATCTTAAGCTAAGTATTTACTATAGACTTAGATAGAACTTATAAAAAGTTTTTATATATTATATAATTATATCTTTACTAGTAAGTAGACTCTAAAATAATATAAAAAAAACTTACTAAAGTATTAATATTTTAACTATAAGATATAAAAATACTTATTTAGTAGCTAGAATATATTAACTTAGTACTAAAATAATACTTCTACTTTAGAGTTAATACTATATATACTATATATATATTATATCTATAAGTAGATATATTATACTAGCTCTAGAACCTATAATATTAAGTTAAAAGCTAATTAAATATCTATATATATTTTCTACTTCTATTATAATAACTTACTTTAAATTCTATATATCTATTTATATATCTTATATAAAGTACGCTTTACTAATAATATCTATATTACTAATAATACTATCTTTCTATAGATTACTTATAATTAGAAATAGAATACTATACTTATAACTATCTTTACTCTAAGCTAAAAGTAATAGATTTTATAAATCTATAAAGATAGACTAATACTATAGAAGTTTATCTATCTTCTCTTTATAAATACTCTACTAGTTAATATATATTATCTTAGTATATAAAAGCTACTTAGTTTTATATATATCTACTAGATAGTACTTTAAAATAGTATATATTTAGTAGTCTAGTATTAGTACTTTTAAATAGAATATACTATAAAAACTACTTACTATAGTTAGAAATCTAAATAGAGACTATTTAGATTAAAAAGTTATTAGAGCTAGAGATAATTAATAATTAGAGATAGTTAAGTATATTGTAATTAATCTACTACAAAAGAAAGTTAAAATAAAATCTCTAGCTATATATCTAAGAGCTAAGTAATTACGTGTTTATAATTAAGTAATTATAACTATTCTCTAACTTTAATATACTCTCTAGAGTAGTAAAAGTATTAATCTACTCTACTAAAATTAATTCTATTAAATCTACTATAATTAGTATACTCTAGTAGAGTCTAGGCTTAAGAATCTAGAGCGTAGTAGTAGGTCGCGGCCTAACTAAGTATTTAATTATACTTAACACTAATAGTAGTAAGCTCTTACTTATTTAAATAAGGCTTAATAGTTTAGAAATTAACTCTATTAGTTTAGAAATTGCCTTATAATAGCCTAGAATATAGCTAATAGCTATAGAAATCTAAGTATCTAACTAGTAAGAGATAATTCTAATAGTAAGATCTAGACTTCTAGTTTCTTCTAGATAAGATTTATAGTATAATTAATAGCTTAATAAGCTACGCTAGCTTTCTATATAGATACGCGCTTAGGCTAGAATTAGAGACTTTATAATAATAAATTTTTTAATTCTTCTCTTCTCTACTATAATTATCTACTTCTATATTATTAAAATACTTAAGCTAATAAGCTATTAAGCTACTTATCTAATTAACTCTTCTACTTAAGATTTTTAGCTCTTAAGCCTTAGCGCTCTTAAATTCTACGCTTAATTCTCTACTCTACTTAACTTCTCTATTCTCTCTATTACTATAGTAAGTTCTTACTTTTATATCTAAATTAATAGCTAACTATTATAATTTAGTCTAATAACTTAACTTCTAACTCTAACTCTAGCTATAAGCGCTAGCGCTCTAGCTTCTACTATAATAGTGTTCTACGCTCTAATTATAATATCTCTAGTAGTAGTAATTATAATATATAAGCTAGTACTTAGCGTAATAGCGCTTAGTATAATAGCGCTCTACTTAATAGCGCTCTATAGTTAAGCGCTTAATCTCTTTACTATACTTAACTTAAAAACACTACTACTTAAATTCTATTTCTTTCTTCTAAGATAATAGTAGCTAATAGTCTATTTTCTAGTAGCTTTACCTAAAGTAATTAGACTTCTAATACTTAACTATTTTAGAGCTTTATAAATTCTAATAATTAACTAGATTAGAGCTTTAAGATAACTAGTAGCTTTAGTAATAATAACTTTTATAAAAATTATAAGTAATTAAAGTTATACGCTAAGTGTACCTACTTAGATTATAAGGCCTCTTAGTTTAATAACTTTAATAACTAGGGTTTAGGGTTAGGGTTAGGGTTAGGGTTAGGGTTAGGGTTAGGGTTAGGGTTAGGGTTAGGGTTAGGG